CTTAGCCTTCTTTGTGTAGGCTTTCTTCTTACCATAGACAATTCTGAAGTTACCTACTCTGCTCCCAAGTGGAATTCACTTTGGTAAAGCAGAACAGAAAGAAGCTTTTCCAAGTTCTGTAATTTTTATCTTACTCAGAGATTGCAGTTACTCTGGTAGCTACAAAGAAACAGTATAAAGCAGAGGCCTAAGAGGGAAAGAAATGTGGCTAAAGTGCAACATAGCTGAAAAATTGACTTGCTGGAAATTATTGCTCCCTGGACATTCAAGTGATTCAAGGATTTTGTGAACTTAAGAACTTGGGTAGGATAAACAGTCCAAATTAGATCCAAAAATAACATCTTTTTTTTTTTTTTCTTAATATCTGGCTCATAATTAAACCCTCACAATGTAGCCCTGACTGGCCTGGGATTTGTATAGACCAGGCTGGCCTTGATCTCACAGAGATTGGCCTGCCTCTGCCACCAGAGTGCTGGGACTAATGGCATGTGCTACCACACCTGGCTAAACCTTCACAAACTTATATTTTCAAGTTCCCATATAATTAAAAAATTGTATATCAGAGCTAATGTGTATGTTTGGAATTTTCTCCAAAGTTTAGCTTCAGATTGATGCTTGTTACCTAAGCTTAAATGTTATACAGTTAATACTTTTGATTCTAGATTTATAGGTAGGTACAGCCAACAGTGAAGCATATTCAGTTGATAGTATTTATTGTCTACTAATAAGAGATAGGCACCCAGGTGTGTGGCACATAGCTATAATTGCATGTCTCTGGAGGCTGAGGCAGGATGATCACAAGTAAGTTCAAATCCAGCCTGGAGTGGTTGTATATGTCTGTCATCCTAGCATTTGGAAGGCTGAGGCAGGAAGATTGGTTATTCAAGGGTAGCCTGTGCTATATATAGCAAGACTTTGTCTTTGGAAAAAAAAAGACAAATTCACCTTTATAAGTAACATTTTTCTAGAGCTAAATTTTATATTGCTCCTTTGTAAGATGTTAAAGCATTGCTTAGGATTGTTGTATCAAATGTGGGGTGTGCATATGTGTGTGCTAGTTCACCTGTCCAGCATACATGTATAGAGGCATAAGGTTGATGCCAGATGTCTTCCTCTTTCAGTCTCTAAAAATGTATATAATATATATATATATATGTATGTAATATATATCTAATTAAATATTAGATATACATTACATCCATATGTATGTATATATATATATGTATATATAGAAAGATGAGATTTCTCCCCAAAACTGGAGCTTTCTTTTTAGCTAGACCAGCTGACCAGTGAGCTCTGGAATCCACCTGTCTCTGCACCCCCACCCTAGCCCTGGAGTTAGATGCCCATGCTGCCATACCTAGCTTTTTCTAGGGGTGCTGGGGATCCAAACTCTGGTCCTTAGGCTTGCATAGCAAACACCTTATCCATTGAACCATCTCCCTAGCCCAAGAGTACGTGTTTTTTTTTTCACTTTCTTATTTTTATTTTATGTGTCTGAGTGGTTTGCAAGCATGTAATATAAGTGCACCCATGTCATACAATGCCCTTAGAGGCTAGAAGAGGGCAACAGATCAAGCTAGAACTGAAGTTACAGGTGATTGTTAGCTGCTATGTGGGTTTTAGGGACCAAACCCAGGTCCTGTGCAAGAGCAGCCAGTGCTCTTAACCTCTGACCCATCTCCAGCCCCCGAGATGGGTTTCAGGGTTTTGTTTGTTTGTTTTGGTCTTTTTTGAGACAAGGTCTCCCTGAAGCCCCAGCCTGCCTAGAACTCATTATGTAGACCAGGCTTGCCTTGAACTCAGAAGAGATCCACCTCTTGTGGATCTCCTCTGCCTCCCAAAGTGCTAGGATTAAAGGTGTGCACTACCACATCCGGCTTATTTCAGCTTCTAACATATATATATATTATTGAAGCAGGGTTTCCCTGTAGCCCCAGTTGGTGTGAAACTCACTGTGTAGACTAGCTGACCTCGATCTCATAGAGATTTACCTGCCTCTGCCTCCTGAGTGCTAGGGTTAAAAGCATGTGCCACCATACCCATATTTTACAGATGAGACTGAGGAATAGAGGGGTTAAATGATGTTCTTATGTAAAAGCTAGTAAGTAACTTAGTAAGCTGGCCTGTAACCTGCCATGTAGACCAGGTTGACCAAACTTACAGAGATCCACCTGCCTCTGCCTCCCAAGTGCTGAGCTTAAAGGCATGCACGACCACACCCAGCCTATGTGTATGGGTATATTGCCTGCATGTAAGTGAGTGCACCCGTGTCATGCAATGCCGCAGAGGTCAGAAGAGGGTTTTGGATTCCCCTGGAACTGGAGTTGAGGACGGTTTGCAGCCGCCATGTGGGTGCTGGAAATCGAACCCAGGTCCTCTGCAAGAGCAGCCAGTGCTCTTAACTGCTGAACCATCTCTCCAGCCCCAAGATGTCTTTTTAAGATACAGACAGTGTGTAGATACTAGTGTACATAATATTATGTGTGTGTTGTACATATTTGTGTGGGTGGGTGCACATGTGTTTGGCAGTCAGGTAAACTCAGGCTCTTCTACAGTCACTCTCCACCTTATTTTTTGAGACAGAGTCTCTCGCTGAATCTGGAACTTTCTGATTCAACTAAACTAGCTAGCCAGCACGCCCCAGGGATCTTCCTGTTCTTCGTCCCCAGCTCTGGGATTACAGGCACAATGCCTGGCTTTTACAAGGATGTTACAGATTCAACTCAGGTCTCCATGGTTGTACAGCAAGCACTTTACTAAGCAATCTCTCCAGTCCAGGAACACATATTACTAAGTGTTCAACATAGGAAATATAAAACATTCATAAATCTGCCTTTGAGGCATTTATGATCTGGTTGGGGAACTATAACATAGGAAATAGCAATAACATGGTAGCATATAAAATGTCTATCAGAGATCTCTCTAGTCCTAGTAAAATATGCATTTCATTTTGTCAGTGCTTCATATACACATACTGTTGCGTAGTAGATAATGTAGTTAATGTTGGCTGAATATAATAGTCCCACTTTCATAGTGAATGGTTCTAGCTTATTATGATGTAGGCTCTTATTTGCAAAGAGAAAATTGCTTTCTATAGTCTCTGTGCCATGTAATAGATATGTAAGTCATCTGCTTCTTTGAACAGTATCTTGACTGTCCTTCTTTTTGTCCCCCCATCACTGCTGCTGATCAAACCTAGGCCCTCATGCATGCTAGACAAATGCTCTATCACTGAGTTACCCCAGCCTCTTCCACTTCTTAGGTTTGCCTGGAATTTACAGTCCTTTGTCTTAGCCTCCCAGGTGCTAGGTTATAGACATATCTACCTTTTAACTAATTTTGAAATAACTTCATGTTTATGGACTGATTATAAGAATTAATAGGTTACCACAGTGATACAAACAATTTATATATTGTTTACCTAGATTCTCCAATTATTTTTTTTTAATAAGCTCTGCCAAGTTTTTTTAAAGAAAAACATTCCAGGTTTACTTTTCACCAGTCTGCTCCGGCATGCTTCCAATAATATCAGAATCACCTAGATCAATGATAGCCAATGTGCAGACACTGTAGTATTTTCCACAGGCTGTGCTCAATTCAATATTATTGCCACTGTAGTGATGGACACCAGTTTTGGCCATCATGGCATAGTATTCTATTTCAGATTTCCTTAAAGCTGGGCAGTTGTTGGCGAGGATGACTAATTTGGCCTTGCCCTGTCTGATCATCTTCAGTCTGCTTCTACCCCAGCACGTACTTTCCATTTTTCATACCAAGCTGTAGCCTAGAGTTGATTGACTCCAGAGACTTCTACAATGCAAGCATTTAACAGACTTGAAACCCTCATTTGCAACCATCTCAAAACCAGGTCCAGCTCTCTGGAGCTGAGCCCCTTGGTAAGAAGCCACTGAGGCTCCTGGGGGCCCTCTGGAACTTGATTCTCCAATTTTTAACATTTACTCCATAATTCTTTCCCTAATATATATTATATATAATATACATAGACAATATATTATAAATAAAACTTTTATTTAGAACTATTTGGAAATAACTTGTGCCTGAGTCCTTTATGCTTATAATGCATATATGTGTGAACTACCCCTCACCAGAAACAGTCCCTTATAACAGGAAATTACATTGGTACAGTACTTTAGTCTACACACTTTACTCACAGTTTACCAGTTTACCTCATAATATTCTTTAGAGCAATATAAAAATTTTTGACTGTTCATGCTTTAAAGATTGTACAGTATGCTATCTGCCACTCATGACTTGCCTGTCACAGTCCTGTGTTTGGTTCCAAGAGCAATGAGAGTAGGTATCCTGTCCTCTGACTTAGTCCTGCAAGTGGGACAAATGACTTGATTTGATTTTCTTTCTTTTGTGTGATTCAGTGGAGCAGCGTGACTTCATTGGAGTGGACAGCACAGGAAAAAGGCTGCTTTTTATGGCTAATGAAGCAGACTTGGATGAAGAGCTGGTCATTAAGGGATCCATCCTGCAGAAGTAAGCCCTAGGGATTGTCTTCTTGGCAGTTCTCCTTGTCTTAAAACAAAATAAAACCACCCACCATGGGAAAGAGGGAATGAAAACTTAGATTATACTGTGAAATTGAGAAAAGTATGTGAATATTTCTCAGAGACAGGCTTTTCTTCACTGTGTGAACTTAGCTTTCCCTATGACTTTTTCTTGCCAAGGTAGAGCCAAATCCTGTATAGAAGTAGAGCAAAGCAGCTATGGGGAGAACAGGGGTGTTCTGACAGCATTAGAGCCTCCTTTTAAAAGGTAGAGGCTGGAGAGATGGCTCAGAGGTCAAGAGCACTGACTGCTCTTGCAGAGGACCCAGGTCCAGAGGACCCACATGGCGGCTACGAAACCATCCTTAACTCCAGTTCCAGGCGAATCCGAAGCCCTCTTCTGATCTCTGTGGCATTGCACGACACGGGTGCACTCACATACATGCGGGCAATAGACTCATACACATAAAAATAATAAATAAAATATTTTTTTAATGTGGTAAAAGCACTTAGCATAAAGTATAAAATACCATCTAACTTTTGGTTTGGTTTGGTTTGTGGGTTTTTTTTTTTTTTTTTTTTTTTTTTTTTTTTTGGTCTTTTTGAGGCAGGGTCTGTCTCTCTGTAGCCCCAGCTGGCCTGGAATTCACAGAGATCCACCTTCTGCCTCCCAAGTGCTGGGATTAAAGGCATGCACCACCACACCCTGCTTGTTTTGTTTTTTGAGTTTTGCTATAGCCCTAACTGGTCTGAAACTCACTGTGGCAATCAGGTTGGCCTTGATCTCACAGAGATCCGCCTGCCTCTGCCTCCCGAGTGCTGGGATTAAAGATGTGTGCCACCACACCTGGCTAATTTAAAAGAATTTTTTTAAATTTTATGTGTATAAGTGTTTTGCACGCATGTATGTAAATGCACCCATATTGTGCCATGCTCACAGAGCTCAGAAGAGGGCATCCAATACCCTGGAACTGGAGTTACAGACCATTGTAAGCCTCCATGTTGGTGCTGGGAACTGAACCTGGGTCCTCTGGAAGAGCAACCAGTGCTCTTAACCGAGTCATCTCTCCAGACCCTTTTGTTAATTTTTTATTTTATGTCTATTTTGCCTGCATGTAAAGTGTACCATGTATGTACAGTACTTGCAGAGGCCAGAAGAGGGTGTCAGATTCTGTGGAACTGGAGTTACAAATAATTGTGAACCATAATGTGGGTGTTGGGAACTGAACCCAGGTCCTCCGCAAGAGCAGCCAGTGCTCCTAACTGCTTAGCTATCTCTCCAGCCCCTCTATCGTCTTTTTTTAAAAGATTTGTGTGTGTGTGTGTGTGTCTGTGTCTGTGTCTGTGTGTGTTTGTCTCCCACATGTATGTGGGTACCCACAGAGGACAAAAGAGGGTATCAGATCCTCTGGAGCTGAAGGTGCAGGCACTTCTAAGCTGCCAGGTGTGGTTGCTAGGAACAGAACTTTGGTCCTCTCAAAGAATAGAAAGCTCTCTTAAACCACTGAGCACTGGACAGAATTGAGACTTTTTAATCTTGTATGTTGGCAAAAAAGCTGGAATAACATGGTTTTCACCATATCTTTTGGTCAAAGGAGTCCCAAGTCCATCTCAGATTCACAGAATAGGAAGATAGATAGACCTTAACTCCAGATGTGAAAAGAGCTACAAGTCACTTTTTTAAAAAAAAATTATTATTTTTTTATTTTATGTGTATGAGTGTACTGCCTGCATGTGTGTAAGTACACTCGTGTTGTACAATGCCCATGGAGGTGAGAAGGAGGCATCAGATTCCCCTGAAACTGGAGTTAACCGATGGTTATTAGCCATGTTGTTAGCCACTATGTGAGTGCTGGGAATTGAACCCAGGTCCTCTGCAAGAGCAGTCAGCGCTCTTAACCACTGAGCCATCTCTCCAGCCCCACTACAAAATCACTTTACAAAAATGAAAAGCTAGGCATGTTGACACATGCCTGCAATCCCAGCACTTTAGAAGCTGTGGCAGAAAAAAAAATGTGAGTTCAAGGCCAGCTTGGGTTCCATAGCAAGACTGTCTCAAAAAAATATTTTTCTTAAAAAAAAAAAAAAGATTATAAAAAAAAATCCACATTAAAATATCAACAACACTTCTCACATACACTGGAAAAATCATCTCAGATCTTTATTTTGATATATCACAGTGAAAGATTTATCGTCCTCTTTTTTTTTTTTTTTTTTTTTTAAAAAAAAAAAAAAAAAAAAAAAAAAAAAAAAAAACCTACCATAGTCTATCAAAGATTTTTTTTTAATTTTATGTGTATGTAATGAAGGCCTGCATGTATATACATGCACCATGTATATTACCTGATGCCCAGGGAGGCCAGAAGAGGGTGTCAGATCCCCTGGACCTAGAGTTACAGATAGTTGTGAGCCACCATGTGGGTGCTAGGAACTGTACCTGGGTCTTCTGAATAAGCCATTTAACCACTGAGCCATCTCTCCAGCCCTTAACTATCAGAAGTTTATTGGGTTTTTTTGGTTGGTTGGTTGGTTTTTTTGTTTGTCTGTTTGGTTTTTTTTTTGGTTTTTTTGTTTGGTTTTTTTTTTTTGTCATTTTGAGACAGGGTCTCCCTGTAGCCCCAGCTGTCCTGTAGACCTGTCCCCAGCTCACTATGTAGACCAGGCTGGCCTCAAACTCACAAAGATCTGCCTGCCTCTACCTTCCAAGTGCTGGGATTAAAGATGTGCACCGCCATGCCTGGCCTGGGTTTTGTTTTGTTTTGTTTTTTTAATCTTATGTGTGTGAGTGTATTGCAGGCTTGTATGTAAGTGCACCTGTGTCATGCAGTGCCCGAAGAGGTCAGAAGAGGGTGTGGGATCCTTTGGAACTAGAGTTACTGACAGTTGTTAGCTGCCATGTGGGTGCTGGGAATTTGAACCTGGGTCCTCTGCAGGAGTAGCCAGTATTCTTAACTGCTGAGCCATCTCTCCAGCCCCTATCAAAGATTTTAAGCAGGGAAATCGTATTTGCCTTTGAGAAGATAATTATGGTTGGAGTATGGAAATCAGATTCAAGTTGGGTAGAAGAAGATGCAGAGATCAGATAAGAGTGAATATTGTTGGCCAGGTATGGTGGCGGATGCCTTCCAGAAGGAAGAGTAGCAGTAATGTTGCATGTGACTGTAAGATCATTTTTTTCTTTGCTTTTTGTTGTTTTATTTTGTTTTGTTTTTAAGAGACAAGTTCTTGTGTAACCCTGGCTGACCAGGTTCTCTCTCTCTCTCTACCTTCTTCCTCTCTCCCTCCCTTCTTCCTTCCTCCCTCCCCCCTTACATTATTGATAATGTATATATGTATGTATGTGGAGATCAGGGGACAAATTGCAGGAGACAGTTCTTTCCTTCCACCATATGAGTCCTGGGGACCAAACTCAGGTTATCAGTGTTGGTGGCAGCCTTTACCAGCCTTTACTGGCCCCAAGATAATAATGTTTATAAATAGTCGTTGTATTTTATTAAGATGGAAGTCATTGGTAGCCTACTGAAGTAGAGAGTAGAAGATGATGAAATGTTGATAGCATGTGGATTTTTCTTTGCAGAATTTTGCTGTAGAAGGTGGGCTAAAAATAGGACAACAGGCTGGGCGTGTTGGCACACGCCTTTGTTCCCAGCACTTGGGAGGCAGTTCAAGGCCAGCCTGGTCTACATAACGAGTTCCAGGTCAACTGGGGCTATAGGGAGACCCTGTCTCAAAAAGACCAAAAAAAAAAAAAAAATAGGACAACAGGATGCACCTTTAATCCCAGCAGAGACAGGTGTATCTATGGATCTGTGTGAATTCAAGGCCAACCTGATCTACATAGAGAATAGAGAGTTCCAGGCAAGCCAGGGCTACATAGTGAGACCGTCTCCAAAAAAAAAAAAAAAAAGCTAAAAAGCTACTATGTGGAAATAGGTTAAGAGTGAAGGAGATTCTTAATATAGCTAGATATTAGTGTTAGAAGAAAAATTGAAACAATTCTAGATACGTTCAAGAACCAGACAGCATTCTATACCAAAAATGGTTCAGAATGCTACACCCTACCATGTGTACAGGATATAGTAAGAGAAAAGGAAGTGACAAATAGAAATAACCTGGTCAACTGCAAGTCAGCATTTGCCTTCTGTAGGCATGGTAGAGTGAGGCATTTACCTTATATGGGCATGATCTGATCACTTGGCAGCATACAATTGACTTAAACTCATCTGTTGTGATTGAGACTTGGTTATTTGGTTACAGGTACATATTCAGATTATAATTTGTTGACAAATCAAACTAAGGTACAGATTCATTATGTACAGACCAAACTTTATCACCCAAGCAAGTACAGGGTGAAGTTTAAGACAAATTTATTTCAGATTAACAATACCTGCTGCCAGATTATGAGGGTTAGCTATTTTAATAGGACCTACTTCTATTTAATATGACCTATTTTTTTTTAATTTTTACAAAAACTTTATTGAGAATTTCATACATGTATATAAGGTGTTTTGATCAAATCCATGCCTACTCCCTCCCCTCTCAACATTCTCCCCTTTGAAGAGGTAACCCTAAAATCTTTTAAGGATTAGATACAAGCTCCCAAATACTTTTGAAGTTTTTGGCCTTTGGAACAGAGTATGTTGCTAACAGGCCCAAGGACATTTTGACTTTTAGCCAAGAAACTGGCTACATCTCTTTTTAATATGACCTATTTCTACCTCAGATCTTCCCACTCCATCCTGTATACCTGAATTTGTCAAATTTTCTGTACCCACCAAGGATATTCTAAAGTATACCCTGACTCATTAGGCTACCTAAAGTCCTTCAACATTCCATCTGCTCTATAGTATGTCCTATTGAAATGTGCTTCGTTAAGATAGCTAATAAATATGTGCCTGGCATTTCCTAAATGCCATATTAATGTGATAATCAAATCTAAAGTCTTCCTTCTTTAAAGGGGGGAGAGGGGGAGAAAATGTAGAATGGAGT